ACAGTGAAATCAACAAATAAGTGGAATGAGATTCTTGCACTGGTTAATCAGTAAAAGAAATAAGGAAAAACTTCAGGATAAAAATTCCTAAGATAACTGTTGTTCATTCTTGATACGCTGACTGGAGATAATCTTTGGAAAAAGTTACCTAACTAAAAATGTCAGTTTATCACAATGTGATGTCTGATAAAAAATACTTGGTGTCTTTTGAAAAATGCCTCAAAATGAGATTTCTAAGCTATCTATCTAATCGAGAATGTTGTGCTTACTTATTTGCCCCCTCCAATAATTATCACCTATGAAATCCATTCCTTAAAAAAAATTTTAACTCCTGAACTTAATAATCTGAACTTATACAAAACATAAAACTATTTTAATACTTATGGTGCAATGTTGACATAGAGAATCTCAAAAGCATTACTAACTAGTACTTGACTCTTATGAGAATGGAGTAGCACACACACACACTTCCTCACTGTAATAATTGTTACCTTTTTAAAGTTATGTATCTTTTGACGGGCCAACAGCTGTTTTTACATATTAAAGGCAATGGTGTAGTGTCTGCTATTAAGATTTTTGCTGTCCTGCCATCGTCCTGATACACCATGGTTATGGGTTCAATCCCAGTCATGGCATATACAAGAATCAACCAATGAAAGCTTAAATATGTGGAACAACAAATTTCTCTCTCTTCCCCCACACCTCTCTTTCAAATCAATAAAACCGTAAAAGATTTTTGTAGTCCAATTTTAATAGAAAAGGAAGACATTTTCAGCTTGATTATCAATGGCATTTATCCTTCGGGGCAAAAACTGACTTGTCAGCGACAAAACACCTGTCGTTTAGGAAGTTCAAATATTGAATAAATTTATCTTTTCTTTACTTAACACTATATAAGTAAAAGAATCTGTAACATAACATACAGTTTTAGTTTTAAAAAATTGTATTTTAGAGAAAAAGGCAGGATGTATTGCTTTCAAAACACAGAGTTTGAATGATTTAAATTCTCCTCTAATAAAATGCCACAACAAAAGGTTTGTCTTTTTATATGTAGGGAAAAAAACAATTAATAGGTTGTTTGGTTACAAACCTAAAACTTTAAAGGTTCCCATTATCTCACTCTGGCAAGTTTTATTTTGTTCTGACAGTGCCACTTTAAACATTCAAGGAAAAATGTGAAATTAGTTGTAAATTGCCTATTTTAAGAAATTATTTTATAAGTGATCTTAAGATATGAAAAAATTTAAGTTGTTTTAAACAGACAACTATCAAATTCTCAGAAGTTATCTGGTTCCTAGACTTCCCTAGTTCATTTAACCCTCCTTTAGAGCTTTTAAAACTCTAATCAATTAGAGCTTTCAGCCCCAATATCAGTCTTGGAAGTAAAATAAAATGCAGTCTATTTTAACTATTTGTACTCAATAGTGAAGTGAAGGCAAAGCCTGAAACATAAATTAGATTTGGGATTCACTGTAGATTTCAGATAGCCAAATTTATTCCTCTACTAAAAGGGCCTAAAAAAGATACATACACAAAATGTGTACAAAAATGTTTATAGAAGCATTATTCATAATAGCCAAAAATATCAAAAAAGGCTATGTTCTCAAAGCTCAGCTAACAGAAAACAAAAGATAACTTTAAAATGCTAGTAAATTAAACTTCCAAAACACATGCATGCATCAAAAAGTATGCAAAACAGCCCTAGCTGTGTAGCTCAGTTGGTTAGTGTTATCCTGATACAGCAAGGTTGAGGGTTTGATCCCCAGTCAGAGAACATACAAGAAACAACCAATGAATACATAAGTAGAACAACAAAATCATGTCTGTCTGTCTCTCTCAAATCAATAAATAAAAAATTTTTAAATATATTTTAAAAATATGCAAAACATTTTAAGAATGTCATTTTAAATGATTATTTTAAAAGTTTTATAGCCTCGGCTGATGTGGCTCAGTGGATTGAGTACAGGCTTGGGAACCAAAGAGTCACTGGTTCGATTCTTAGTTTAAGGCATGTGCCTGGGTTGTGGGCCAGGTCTCCAGAAGGGGGCGCTCGACAGGCAACCACACATTGATGTTTCTCTTCCTCTCTTTCTCCCTCCCTTCCCCCTCTCTAAACATAAATGGATAAAATCTTAAAATAAAATAAAAGTTTTATAAATTGTAAAACCTAAAGTCTGACAGGCTAAACCAAAAATTCATGTGGAAATGCAAGGGACCCAAATAGCCAAGATAACCTTCAGAAAAAATAACAAAGTCGGAGGACTCACACTCCTGATCCCAAACTTACCACAAAACTACAGTAATCAAAACAATGTGGTACCAGCATAAGGATAAACAATGGAATACAACTATAAATCCAGAAATAAACCCATACATCTATGGTCAACTGATTTTCAACAAGGATACCAAGACTATTCAAATGAAGAAAGAAGACCCTTTTCAACAAATGATGCTGGGACTTTTCACATGCAAAAGAATGAAATTTTATCTCTTCCTCATACCACACACAAAAATTAACTTCAAATGGATCACACACCTAAATGTAAGAGCTAAAGCTATAAAACCCACAGAAGAAAACACTAGAAGGAAATCTTTGAGACCTTGGGAAGCATAGGAGATCTTGCTCCTCAGCATGTTGTCAGTTTGGCCGAAATAAACTCTTATAAAAACCCTCCCCCCCAAAAAAACCTTTGTGACCTTGGTCTAGGAAAGACTTCTTAGATAAACAACAAAAGCATAACAGAAAAATCAGATAAATTGGACTTCAATGAGACTTCATCAAAATTAAAAACATTTGTGCTTCAAAGTATACCATCAAGAAAGTGAAAAAGATAACCCATAGAATGAGAATGTTTACAAAGTCATATATCTGATGAGACATGTACCCAGAATATAAAACTCAATAATAAGACAAACCAATCTAAAAATGGGCAATGAATCTAAACAGACATTTTGCCAAAGAAAATACATAAGTGGGCAATAAACACATGAAAAGATGCTCAACACCATTAGCCACCACATAACTGCAAATCAAAACCGCAATGAGATCCTACTTCATATCCATCCACCGTATACCAGTGTGGCTCAGTTGGTTGGGGGTTGTCCTGCAAAGCAGATGGTTGCCAGTTCAATTCTGGTCAGGGCACATGCCTGGGTTGCAGGTTCATCTGCGATCTGGGCGTGAACAAGGGGCAAATGAACGACATTTCTCTCTTACATGGATGTTTCTCTCCCACTCTTTCTCTTTACCTTCCCCTTTCTCTAAAAAGAAATAAAATCTTAAAAAAAAAAAAACAAGCAGTGTTGTTCAGCATGTGGAAAAACTGGAATCCTCAGACACTGAGAGTGGAATTGTAAAATGGTTCTGTCATTCTGAAAAAGTTTGGTAATTCCTTGAACTGTTAAACAGAGAATTACCATATGACCCAGCAACTCCATTCCCAAAAGAAATGAAGACGTGTGCACAGGAAAACTTGTACAAAAATGATCATAGCAGCATCATTCATAACAGCCAAAAAGTGGAAACCAGTCAATGTCCATCATGGTAATGGATAAATAAAATGCTGTGTGTACATGTACATACACACACACAATGGAATGCTTAGTCATAAAACTGAATTAAGTACCAATACAAGCATGTTACATCATGAACATTGGAAACACGCTAAGTGAAATAAGCCAGGCACAAAGGACCATATACATGATCCCATTCAGAAGTGTTCAGAAGAGACAAATCTACAGAAGCAGAAATCTATAGATGAATTGCCTAGGGCTAATGCAGGAGGGAAATGGGGAGCAACTAACAGATATTCTTTCTGAGGTGGTAAAATTGTTCTAAAACTGACTGAGGTTATTTCTGAACAACCCTGTGAACATATAAAATAATCCTTGAGTTGTACACTTAAATGGGAGTATTGTATGGTACATGAATTGTACCTCGATAAAGCTGTTTTTAAGAAAAGAAAACCTAATGTATTTATGTTGCTTGTAGCAAACAAGGAACATACACGACAACTATGAACTGATTTGATTACTACAAGTTCATGCCTGAGACACTTAGAAGTAAGAATTTAAGGCACAATCCTATGCACTGAAAGATTATTCCTTTAAATATTTCTGAACCTTAAAATGGAATTGTAGTACTTGAAACTGTCAGGGCATAAAATGAGATTCATCCAAATTACCTGAGTAAACATATTACTTTCCTGTACACGGCTGAACTGTACTTCCCACGACAATAAACAATAACTACAGCAAAACACCACAGGGAGAGTGAGAAGTCATTTACAAAGAACCTAATACTAATAATGAGTTAAGAGGAGGGGTGTGGAAAGAATGAGGAAGGGGAAGGAGCACGGGACAAGGGGAAGTCTCGTTGCACTTAAGCCCCAAGAATCTAGTTACATTAAATTCAACTTTAATACGCTTTGTGAACAGGCCCAGAGGCAAAGTCCTGGGCGCAGACCAACGAGCCGAACTGCGAAGCCGAGAGGAAGTGCCGATGCGGCCCCAGCACGGAATTTAGTGTGAAAATGGTGGGGGGCAAAAGGGCTCAGACGGGGGGCTGGCGCGGGAGGCAGGCGAGCCCCCTCGACCTGGCTGGGGCCCGCGCTCGCCGACAGCGCGTAGCTGGGGGTGGCCGCGCCGCGGGCCCGTCGTGCGCGTCCCAGCCTCCGAGCACGCCCGGCGCCCGGAGTCTCCGGGGCCGGATCCCGTCTCCCGCCCCATTCGCGCTTTGTCCCAGCGCGGGCGGCGGGCGGTCCTCAGCCTCTCCGCCGCGGATGGAGGGGCCTCGCTGCCAGCCCCCGTACCGCGCAAGGGCTGCGAGCCTGAGAGTCCAGGCGGCCGCCGACCCGTCGCCCCACAGGCTTTATCCAGGCGGAACCCAGCAGGCGGCGGTCCGAGGACGCTTTCCCTATCCGCGGAGCCGCTGCCGCCACGGTCCCAAGCACAGAAAGCCTTGGACTCCGAAACCCACACAATTTCTAATATCCTCTTACCCAAAAATTCTCGACGAAATGCGCCATGACCATCGTGCTGCCGCCGCGCCGGGTTCTGCGTCCGCGCCCGCCCGCCGCTGTGTAAACACCGGCCCGGCCCCCACGGCGCCCCCGCCTTCCACCGCCACCGCCTTCTTCCCAGACTCCAGCCCGTACCCTCCAGGGCGCATGCGCCACCTAGCGGCTGCGGGGACAGGACGAACACTTAAAGCCGCCTGGTGCGCGCATGCGCCCGAGGTCCCATTCCCTGGTTTTAGTGGCCTTTTCTCTCTCCCTAGCGCGGGCGGGGCTAGATTGAGTATTCTGTTGGGAATGGTGGAGAACCGGAACCCCGAGGACTCATCGGGACGACTGTCAGCACCCTCTGTGGTGTGGTGGGTACTGGACCAGGGACTAAACTAAGAGAGGGGCCAGCTAGCGGCAGTTGAGCCCGTAGTTTGCTGCCAGCTCAGTTCCTTCTTACAAGACTCGCTTCCCCCGCCTTCGAGGATCCGAATGGATCCTGAGGCTGGGTAAGCTGGGATAGGGGAAACTTGGCCGCTAGCCACTTGGAGGAGACTCTGAGAAACCTCTGGTCAACAGGGTGCTTTTCCTTGACCGGGCACTAAGAACCAAAACAAAACTTTCCGAGGCCGGAAAAGGAGGAAACGCCCAGTGTCGCCAGATTGCCACTGGAGCGGCGCGAGACCCTGGCGCCGAGTCCATGACCTCTAAGCACGCCCGGCGCAAACTAGCTAGGATGGCTGACAGCAGGAACCAGACCCGAAACGAACAAATTTCCCTGACCCTGGCAGGTTGTTTTTTTTTTAAGTCTCTTCCAGGACTTGTTCGTGTAAGTCCATGGTTCTCTTAGCAACTTTAACATTTTGGAAAAAGAAACAAGTTTGAACATGCCTCAGCATAACAGAAAAACTAAATCCCCTTCCCATGCTTTGCTTTCCCAAAAGTTAAGTGAAAAAAATTAAGCCCTTGTACAGAGGTCTCAAGTTCACCATCACCAGGTCAGCCGCTCTTGAAGCCAAGCCCTCAAACAGATTTAGTGTAGCTTTAACTGTACAAACACGTCACACCTCCTCAGATCTTGTGACTTCAGACATAAACACAACACTGTTTCTTCACTGAAATGTATTTACATCCTCAAATGTAAGAGAAAGCCACGTGGTGCCTTTCACATGGATGAACTGGAAAGTGTTTGTTGAACTGGGACTAATTTGGCAATGGTATTGTATCTTTTCAAGAATATCTTTTAGATATACATATGGGATATAATGATAAGACATGTAGAATTTTCTTAAAAATTCATTGAGGGACGGGGGATGAATAGGAGTACACATGGAACAAGATTGACCATGAGGTGTCCATTGTTGGAGCTAGGTAATGGAAACGAGGTGGTTCGCTATACTTTCTTTTTGTATAAATGTTTGCTATTTCTTTCCTATGGAAAGTCTTCATAACATTGTCATTAACACCTAGTTTTGGGGAAAGTCACACTTAGAAATGTGTTACCATTCTCTAAGCCATCAGTCTAGTACTATCTATCTTATGATGCTGGGAAAATTCCGGAAAAAAAATGCAACGATCTAGATCTCCATGCAAATAAGATTGACAATAAATTCCCAGTATCACAAAGCACTAACATTCTTAGAGCTGGGCAGGAAATGCCCCTCTCTTGGACCCCATGCTTTCAAAGACCTTACCTATCACAAACACACACATTAATTTATTTTAAAAACATGTGTCTCTGCCACTCCTGCTCTAATGTGGAACATTGGCCTACAATCATAAATACCCTCTTCCATGACCGACACTATTTGGCCCCTGGGGAAAACTTCGTATCTCTTGCCCTGTATCTTTAAAACAAAAAGTGGACTGCAAATGCAGTGACAATTTCTGAGTAACACAGCTGCCTGTTTCAAAAATAAACTGCTGTGAAGTTAAGGCAGAATTTGAGAAGCAGAAGAGCTTAGGTTAAAAAAAAAGACAAATAGTTAATTTATGGAATCCTTTTTCTCAGCTTGAATGAAATAGATTCTTGAAAAGTATTGTTTTGCATAACAAAGTGATCCCAAGCACAAATTTTCCTTCTTTTGGTGTTCCTATTTGTGCTACCAGCACTGACAGTTTACCACAGTGCATATTCAAATAGTTGCACATGAGATGCTGGCCTCCATTTGTACTCTGATCTTACAAATATTATGGGGAGGCTGCCACAAAGATAAATATCCTGTGTATTTTGATTATTTACAAGGTTTATTAGGGTAAAACCCCCACATGCTATAATTGCCTGGCATTTAAATTGTGGGACTTTATAGTAAATGGCGATTAAGTTTACTAAATTTCAGGCAGGATGTTGTAATAGAAGAATGTGAGCAGTATCAGCCACCTTCTGTCTTCTCAAGTGAAGCCTCCAGGGATGCACATATACTCTGGCAGAACATAGATAAGGTCCTAAGTGGGTAGCTCAGTCATATGCATTGAAGTATTTGTGCCACACACAATTACCCTTGTTTATCCAAACAGATTCTGAAATTATTAAAAACTGGCATAGATAACAGCAATGTTCCTTCCACTCACTGCCTATAATACTGCCTGTAATACTGCACTGAATAGTTATTTAGTAAATGTTCAGTGAAAGAATGGATGAATGACTGAGCCTGTTATAGAAATCCCAGGTGCACGATATTTGGGATATGCAATAAATCCATTCTTCTTTTACTCATACTAATAATTGTTGCTAGATCTTAGAACTTATAATAAAAGTCATTATTTAAGTTCTACTTGATTTAATTTTCTCACATGACTTTAAATATTTTCAAAGGAGTTCTTTTAGGCTTGAGTATACTTTAGAAAGGATTAGCTGCCTTTTGTAATAAAAATAAAATAAAACCAAAATAATAACGTTCAAGATTAGCTCTAGCAGATCTTTTATTGAAAGGGACCCCTAAAACAATTTAGTTCTCAAATTTTGGGTGCATCCACCATCAGATTCATCTTTCTCTTAGGATCTCTCCCTAATTATACCTGCCATCAACATCTTGGCTTCCAGAGGATGCTGTTGGTCTCTATTAAACTGTGGCCCAAGCATACACGTTACAGCCCAAATCTGCTATACCCAGACTGCTGAAATATAACTTGATAAGTGGTAGCAACTAAGAGAAAATAAATTAACACAAAATAATCTAAATCAGCCCTGGCTGGTGTGGCTCAGTGGACTGAGTGCCAGCCTGAAAACTGAAAGGTTGCTGGTTTGATTCCCAGTCAGGGTACATGCCTGGGTTGTGGGCCACATCCCCAGTTGGAGGCATGCAAGAGGCAACCAATCCAGGTATCTCTTATACATTGTTGTTTCTCTCCCTCTCTTTCTCCCTCCCTTCCCCTTTCTCTAAAAATAAATAAGTAAAATCTTTAAAAAAATAATCTAAATCTAAATTCTCTCTTTTACAAAACATGGCTTCTCTCCAAAATTTGAGGGGAAGGCATCCAGAGAACTTCCCTCTTTTCATTCCTTAGTTTGATCTTCCATTTGCAATCCTGGGTTTAGCTTACAGCACATTAATGAAAATTTAGTTACAAAGGTCATTTCCTCATTACTTCATTAAAATCTAGCTCTATTCCAGAAGAGTTGGAAAGAAGTAAAACTTTAAAAGAAAATCTAATATAATTTTGAATTTTTTAAAGATAATTTTGCTAATATAGCTTCTACTTGTTTCCAAGATGAGCATGGCAGCAGAGAAGCCATTATAAATCTCGCTAATTTTTTCAGGGGGAAGCATCCTGTGTCAGATGCAGTAGTCCTTCTCTGTACTCATCTTACACTTGAAAATAACAAGTGGCAATAGAGCTGAGCTCCATTGAAAGGCGGAAGAGAAATAGGCAGATCCCTGAAATCTGTTGTTCTCTTGTTTTTCCCTACTCAATAGCAGCACATTGAAAACAAAAGCTCTATGCAAAACAGAAAGAAAAGCAAAAGTTTTGCAGGTGGTATACAGGCAGGCAAGGAGAAGGGAACAAATTCATCAAACTGCAGAATGAAGCTGAATACCACCCTCCACACACTCTTCTTGGTTCAGAGCAGTTCGCTAGGCACACCTTTCTTCTCCCTGAGTGCACCTGGGATTGAGTGTGTGTTCGCTGGTGTGTCATTGTTTCTTCCTCCAGAATGTGATGCACCTTACCAGTGACTCTCTTACCTTTCTGTCCATGGAGGAAGCACAAAAACACCTACAAATGTTCAAGGGGGTTACATTGCTAGTGATCACAGGGAACCCAAGAGGGATCTAAAAAATAAGAAAAGAGAAATTACTAAATTACAGAAAGTCACAAAGGCAATGATAATATAAAAATACACAAAAATGTTTGCCTTTAATATTAAATGGAAAGGCAGAAGATGACATGGAAAATACATTAAAAATACAAATACGTAAAAATATGCATGTAAATAGTGAAAAAAATTTAAAAACATGGAAAAATGCATATGCGTTAGGGTAGTGAGATTATGACAATTATAAACATTTAAAATTTATTTTAATGTAATAACATAGTGAGATTTAAAAAGCAACTGTTTTTTGTTTTTGTTTGAATGTAAATGTAACTGAGCCAAATCTTTCTTAAGACTTTCATTAACTCCTCTCTTTCATTTATTCAGGCAATAGGCAATTATTGACCCCTTAGTGCAATGAAAAAACTGTCTCTGCTCTTAAGAAATTAAAACTCTAATATAGACCCATAATGAAGAAGACAGTAGAGATGATAATTACAAAATAATATGCCTACAAAAATACCTGGCATACAGTTAGTGACCAATAAACATTTATTAAATGAAAAAAGTGAATGAATCACTGTTTGATCTGAAGGATAACCTCAATTTCAAAGAATCACTTTGTGTTCTTTCCTTTTTCAAAAAAGATGTTATTGGTTTATTTTTAGAGAGAGGGAGATGGAGGGAGAAAGAGAAGGAGAGAGCCATCAATGTGTGGTTGCCTCTCATGCACCAGCTACTGGGGACCTGGCCTGCAACCCAGTAATGTGCCCTGACTGGGAATCAAACCAGCGACCCCACTTTCCTTCCTTCCTTCCTTCCTTCCTTCCTTCCTTCCTTCCTTCCTTCCTTCCTTCCTTCCTTCCTTCCTCTCTCCTTCCCTCCCACCCTC